CCCCCCCCCCCCCCAACATCCCTTTTGCGGTTTTCAGGCTTATAAGGAGTGCTCTTGCAATTGTTCAGGGCTGATCAGGGGAACAGCTTTATGTTCTGGTCAGCCGCCACCGGTGTGCTTCAATAAAGGCTTGATTCGATTATACGTGAGTGGTCTGGAAGTCAATTTATGAAACCCTGGGACAAAGCTTTAACTATAACATTTGGGGGCTCATCTGAGATCCATTTCTTCCCTACCCTCACGCCAAATTTGCCTCCAAGGACAGTCCTTTGGACCTGGGCCCCGGAGTAGAGGGGAGCTCCTGAGAGACGTTCCTCAGCCTCACTCCGAGGACGACTCCAATCCATCCTAGGATGCTCTGAAAGCCTCCTGCCGGCTGTCAGTTCTAGTGAGTCCACTCTTCTCTGGGGGAAAAGGTCAGATTGGACGCAGTCGCTTACACCTTCCCCAGGACAGGACGAGACGTTGTCACTGTCTCCCTGGAGGTCTCCCTGTGAGACCTCATCTGTCTGTATCTGGGGCCCACTGGAGGCCTCCCTGGGAGGCCTCATCTGTCTGGGGGCAGGACGAGATGTGGTCTCTGCACCTATTAGAGGTCTCCCTGTGCGACCTCAGCGATTGTTGCTTGTCCTGTGTCTGTTGTGCTGTTTGTCGTTTCTCCAGCATCTTCTTGCTGTTTGTCATTTGTCCCGTGTCTGTTTGTCGGCCGTTTGTCTTTTGTGTATCTATCTGAGTGTTGTGCTGGGCCCTTTTCTTGTTCCCATAACCGCTCTTCTTTCACCAGGACTCCTTCACTCCACCAACATCAGAGACAAGGAGATCTCTACCTGGACTTCTTTAACTTGTTTTCTTAACAATTCTCAGGATTTTGTCTGTTGGTTTGTTTTTGTTTGTTTCCTTTGTGTTCTGTGTTAATTTCTACCTCAGTTTGTTTCTAATAAAAAAAAAAGGTTAGAACTGTTTTAACTGTGCTCATTACAGCTTGCATTAAAATGTAAAGTGCTGCCAACAGGACTAAAAGAATTGTCAAAAGTAAAAGCTAAAGGTAAAAAGAAAAAGGCATTCTAGAGATTGCCTTCATTTAGGAGCTGGGCCAGGTGGCCACCTGGGTAAATCATGTCACTTCCTATAGAGGACAGATTAAAACTAAAGTGTTTAATAAAATTATTATTCCTAAATTATATATATAACAAAAAAACATAATTTTGTCTAGAAATTTGGCTTTTGTCTCTCAGTATTTGCAAGCACGAATAACTCCCAACTATTAAAAAATGGTCTAAGATTTTTCAATGTCAGGCTAAAAGTTGGTGGCAGCTATCCAAGAAACCAGAAAAACCAGTTTAGAATAGGACCCCAACCTGGGGGACTCTCCCAAGGAGCTGCATCTTTGGGAAGTTCCTCCAGGGAAAAATAAGCCCCCTTCGTTTGTCTATGTTCCCTCAACTCTTTTCAACTTTGATGAACAGGACCACCTCAGAAATAAGGTCAGAAAACTTTTAAAATTTTATATTTGTTAAATTCATAATTTTGATCCAATACACTTAGGTTAATATGTTTTTCTGATTACACTCTACTTTATTCTAAGGCCAATTTACAAGGGTTAACTCTCAATCTAATATGTTTTTTTAAAAAAATAAGCTACAAGGCTTTTGTTTGTCTGTTTGCTTTGTGTGGGTGCACCAATGTACTGTCTGCATGTATTGCTGTGTCTATATATTTGGTACAAATTAGCTCATAAATTAAAATTTTAAAAAATGGATCCAAATACTTTTAGTTAATATAATTTAAAAGGTTCAATTTAAATTGGGGAAATAGATAAAAAGTACAAACAAAAGTTACTAATGCACAGTTTTGTTTCTAGATGGTTAAACAGCTGTTAAAATGTTAGTGTCTATAATGTGTCTAATATCCATTGTCTCTAGGATTTTTATTCAACAACAACAAAAAAATTACTAATACTATTCAATACCTTGTTTTTAAAAAAAGATGTAAATTTTATCTAAACGTATATGAAATTAATCATGGATTTGTTTGTTAGAGACATCTAATTGGTTTACAAAGTTAAAATGCTGACTGTTAAATATAATATCAAGTACTTTTAACTCCTTAAATTCCATAAGGTAAAATACTTAAACAATGTTAGTGTTTTCATAAATTGGTAAACTAAAAAAAAATTGTAATCATTTTGTGTCATTATAAAAACAAGGTTACTCTAAATTACAAAGCCCAACAGATATAATTCTACATACAAGGAGTCAAGAGGTTTCAACTGTATTTCAATTAAAGTACTGTAAGTAACAAATATTTCATCTTATTAAAATAGATCAATTTATCTAAATTCAAAAATTTATAAGGGTTATTTCAAGATACAAACAAAAAAAGGGTCAATGAATTAAAAATTATTAAAAAGTTCTAAATATAAAAATATATTTAATAAAAAACATTTCCAGGTAAAAAATCTTTATGTGGTAAAGTATAATTATAATACATCTAAGTAAACAACAAAAGGGTCTAATTAAGTAATATAAAGGTCTATAAATAAAGGACAAATATTAAAATGTTTATATGTAACTAAGTTGGTTATATATGTAACACAAATAGTTAAAACTATTCAAGGTTGTTCCCTAAGGACAAATAATAATGTACTGATATATTTATATGTTAAATTGACAAAAACTTCTAAAAATATTAATTACATTATGTCTGTTAAGTTTTATCCCTTAGAACAAGTAATCTTGGAGAAACTAAGGTTTTTACATCTGTGGCT